GAAAATATGCCAATGGAATGGATAAAACAAGGAGAGAAAATCAAACAAAATGGACCTGCAAAAGAGAACAAAAAGAAGAAAAGAAAAAAATGAATGTTGCAAATATATCTTCTGTTAAGAAGAGCCGAAATCTTTTCTTCATAAAGTACGAGTTTTGAGGAAAGTTCAGTGAAGTCCATGATCTCCGCTATTACAAATATGTGAAAGATATGATATATTGCAAACTAGTAGAAAATGTTTGAGAATGTAGTGAGTGATGAATATCTTAAAGAGAAAAAAGTGAGACATTGACAATGAAGATATAAATATTTTTAAAAAGGGGAATGGTGTTACTGGCCAGAATGACATGAAGTTATAGGTGACCCAACTTATTTCTGATATTATTCTAAATAATATTAAGTCTATAGCCCTACAGTGCAGTTAAAGGCGTTCCTAAACCAACAAAATGCCAGTAATTTACATTTACATTTACATATGGGAATCCACCATTTTAGAAAGAATGAAAAATATAGTTTCAGAGTTAGACAGCGTGCAAATCCAAAGTTTAAAAAAAAATTGGTGCACCCAACAGTGGCCGTATATCATATGTTTCCGACGCGGTAATACTGCAACGTCCAGGGAATGATGGTAATTAATTTCTAAGATTAAGGTTTTCTGTGATGCCTCTTATTTGAAGAGTAGAGAGCATATAGCCTCGAGATAAAGTTACTTGTTAAGACAGTGACATTAAGGTTTAGTCAGTGTTTGAGATATAGTTAACATCCAGACAAGTTTAGAGAAATGGCTGTATAAACCAGCAGCTTTGTTTGAAATGAGGGAAAAAGTAAATATTGATAAGATCCAAACGTCTGACTAAATCTTGAGGTCATATTATACAAGAGCTCAGGAGTTTCCTTAATTTCTTGCATATGTCTCTCATTACTCAGTGAATAATATGTTTATTATACAGTAAGCTTCTGTAACTCTTTTTCTTGTAATATTTAGGTATTTGTAATTTGTAGATATGAAGATTAATTTGAAATTAATAGGATCTCAGTAATACTTAGGCATCCCTTTGGATGTTGAGTCACTTCGTAACAGAAGAGGTAGCATGAGAGGGGGAGGTTTTTATCCCTTGTGTCATCACAGTCTGATAGGGTTTACTATGAAGAAAAGCTATTGTCTGAAACACCATGTTGGAGGAAGATAATGATGAGTCACTTCACAAAGACTCTGGAGCTAATGGACTCTTATTGTAACATTAGCTTGAACAAAAAGAAAATTTTGGAATGCAGTGTGCAACAAAATCCATGTAGTGCAAGGTTTAATGGTGACTCCACAAATCTGACATTCATAGGAGGCGAGGATTGAAGTGGTTGTGAATAGATTAGTTTCAAGATGATGCCAGTCCTCGATTGTGATAGTTTGTGATCCTCATCGATAAAGTGTTGGGATGATGCTGTAGATACTCATTTGTTAGATTCTGGGAGAACACTATCTTATGATGACCTATATAGTGCAACTTATTTTGAGAGCTTGCATCTGCCCAGCAAGGCCCTGTTTGTGTTACATTTTGGTTACTGTGTGAAAATTGTCCATTCATATTTTGGCCAGGATGTCACATGAAACTTGTGTTTCATGTGATGACTAGAAAATAAATAATATCTGCTACCAATATACTCAGAAGTTCTTGTAGCACTTTGTTCCAATTCCCACTGGAAGATTAGTCTGATCCAGCTATTTGAGCAGATGATTATGGTTAGATAAGAAAAGAAAGACATTTTATTATGATTGGTGAAGGGATGTCAGATCCAGAGACCAGTCAAAATGAAGTCTTAAAAGATTATTAAAATAGATGTGTGTTGATCTGGACATTGTACCTTAACAAAAGATATTTCAAGATAGCTTTTTATAAAGTTCAAAGTTACCGATCAATGGCACATTTTTACTAAGAAAACACAGCGTGAAGTTCCCAGTGAAAAGGTGGAGCAGACGCCCTTGAGCCCAGTGTCGGGATTGTACCTGTGCCTTCAGTCTCCCCGCGTTCTGTAGGGCCTTTGCTTCTCCTCCTCCTATTCCTTTTCCTCCTTTTCCATCTGCTTCTCCTCCTATTCCATCTCCTCCTGCTCCTCCCTCTATCCTTTTTTTATTTATTTATTTACTTTTTTCTGAACATCCCATTCCTTTAACTCCTGGTAGTTTCTGCTCTCACACATTTTTTTTCCCTTTTTCTTTTTCTCTTTGTTTGATTATTATATCCCTTTTCCTATTTCCTCTCAATCTCCTTCATTCATTTCCGCCATATGTTATTGATGTCTCCCTGCCTTTCCTTTTCTTTCCTTAGATTTTCTTCTGTTAATAAAATTGCAGTCATGAAAAGCATACTCATTCTAGTGTAGCTTTTTCTTTTCTCCATAAATTTTGGGGCCTCTGTATTTTTCTGTTTCCTTGATGTATTTCAAGTTCTGACTTTTTTTCTTATTATTATTTTCTTATTTTCCTAGTCCCTTCTTTCTTATTTTCATTGTTCCTTCTTTTTCTCTGGTTCTCTTTTTTCCTATATATTTCTTATTTTCCTCATTTGTTCCTTTTCCTGTTGCTTTTTTTTGTTGATGTTGGTTCACTCCTTTACCAGGCTTCTTTCTTCTAGTTCCTATTTCCTTCTTTCCTATTCTTGATTCTTTTATAGATTTCCGCAGTTGATCCTTTCTTTCTGTTTTTTCTTTTCCTTTTATTTTCCTGATCCTTCTATTCTTATTTTGTAGGTTCTTCCTTGTTCTTAGGTTTTGCTTTTCCTTTATCTCTTATCCGGTTTTATTCTTCTTTTTTCTGGTCCCATGGCCCCAATTTTTCTGGTTCTTTGTGGTTCCTTTCTTCATTTGCCAAATACTTTCTTTTTCCCTTTTCCTTTGTTCCTACTCATTTTCCGGGCTCTTTCTTTTCTCTGGTGCTTTCCTGCTCTCTTTTTCCCATTTAAACCTTTTTCCTGTTGTTTTTTTCTCTTTTTTTTTCTTCTTGATAATGTTCCTTCACCTCATTCTCTTCCCCTTATCATTGTTATTTTTTTCTCTTTATTATCCACTAACACACTTCACACCTTACTGTTTAATTTATTTTTATTATTAGCCTAGGTTTAGTTGATGTTTGTTTTCTCATCAGATTTTACAACTGATTCTATATTTGCTAGACTAGCTGCTGCATAACACATTGTTTATATATTATACAGTTAGATTTATTTTTTCCTTTCTATGATTTATTTGTTATTTCTAACTTAAGGCCTTATCTGCTACATTATTCACAATAATTTATTAGAAGATCAGGTATGCACAGGAATACTAGTCTTGTTGTATTTTATTGGTTTTATTGTATTATTGTTGATGGACATTATTCAAAGGCAAATATAACTGGTTTCTGAACCTAGAATTTATTCTCATAATACTTTCTTTTTCTCCTTCTTCCCATCACTGTTTTCTTTTTATTTGTAAGTTAACAAAAATACAAACATGATGCATCAGACATAATTTCTGTTCACAGTGAAAAAATGCATACCTAAAGAAGTGTCTGATAAAATGATTAATTATATTCAATTTTAGGCTGTCACATCAAAACACTATACATTAAAAAAAAAAAAAAATACTTGCCATCAGTGTCACTGCATGTATTATCTTCAATAACAGATCAAATATAGCACCATGTCCAGATTCTGTTTTATAAATACTTATTTAAGATTTCAGATTTCTCTAGCAACCTTCTGGGTGCATAAGGTTTGTTTTTGAATTTCAGTTTGCTACTACAAAGAACCAGAGAAAAGACAACAGCCCAAATGATTTAATTCAGTTTAATTGTTCCATTCATTTTCTCTCTTTCTTTTCTTTCTTTTTGGGGAAATGCAAGGCTTGTGATCTTGTTCACAGTTATCCTTCATAGTTTTTATTATATTCCTTATCCATTATTTCAGCTGTTTACTAAATCTATAATCTTACTCTGTAATTCCTAACTTCCTTGTTTTTTATAATTTCAGTCTCAACACTTGTTATCAGCAATTCTTCATTATCAGAAATCCTTTCAATAATATTAGATATCAAAATCTCCTTTTTCATGATATGCACTTAAAACTACCATGCCTTTAGTCCCTGCCCTCTTTTCACTAACACTAAAAAAAATATTCAACCTTATTTATCACGCCCCTAGAATCCTTAACCTCCTTTACCATAACCCTGGTTGCCTTGGGCCCATCTGGGTCCTGTACATAATTATGTGACCTCCAGGTTTTAACAGACTTGGGTCACACATTCGCCCTTGTCCTGGCAAGATGAGACATGTACCTGTCCCTGCTAATTGCATAGATATTGTCACTATGTTTATATACACATTTAACTGTCACTGGTGCACTAGCAGTGTTAGATGAATGGCAGTTTTGTATATAATTGTATATAATAGCCCAGAAAGGTGCTTCTCTAAGAATTGTGCTGCAAGCACAAGTTGGTCTTACTTAGGAGTCACAACGACGGGTCAGAAGCGAGTCAGTGCACGAGGGACGAGACCTTTTCCATCACTGTCATGACTTTACAACATGTTCGCATGTTTCATACATCTTTATTGTTTAGGCTTATATACTCATATAACATAGAGTAACCTATAGGCACTGTTTTAAATCAATGCAACTTAAACCTAAGATAACTTTCATTCACATTATCTAAAGATATATCGATAAACATCGATGAAAACCAGATGTCAACCATGCATAATAAGACACCCGACCGCTTGACAGTAGATACACTACATCGTATATGAGATACACTATTTTGAAACATAGATAATAAAGAAACATTTAATTGTTGGCTCTTTTGGGGAAATTTCATGGGACCATTAATCTTATCAAAGCATTTACTAGAATCATTTTGACCCCATCATCCATCTGGAAATTATGATAATCATGAGGAGAATTTATATATCGGAGAAGTTTGCGTTTTTCATTTATGCGACAATGTATCTACATGTCGAGTGGACGGTTGTCACTT